GTAGGTAAGTGCACCTGTGTTGTGCAATGCCTGTGGAGGACAGAAGAGGCTTTTGGATCCCCTGGTACTAGAGTTACGGACACTTGTTAGCTGCCATGTGGGTGCTGGGATTTGAGCCCCTGTCTTCTGCAAGAACAGTCAGTGTTCTTAAAAAAGACTCTGCTTTAAAAACTGTGATTCTCCTGAAATTTCATGGACATGAATTGTCATCTGTGTGGGGCTTATTTTTCATTCCAACAAGCCGTTTTGACCTTTAACAAACCACTGTATGTACTATAGAACATTCACCCTAAGATTTTAGAAGAATCAGTGATTAAAATAAGCATCCAGCAAGTGTCCCCTTTCTTTTTAAAAAATATTTTATTTATTATTTTTATTTTATGTGTATGCGTGTATTGCCTGCATGTAGGTAAGTACATCTGTGTCGTGCAATGCCCGTTGAGGATAGAAGAGGCTGTCAGATCCCCTGGAAGTGGAGTTACAGACGGTTGTTAGCTGCCATGTGGGTCCTTGTATTTGAACCAGGGTCTTCTGCAAGAACAGTCAGTGTTCTTGACCGCTGAGCTCTCTCTCCAGACCCAAGAGTCTCCTTTCAATAAGGGGAAATTAGAAAGTATGAGGCCTCCCCAGGTTGTTTCTTATGTTGCCTCCATCTCTTTCTTTCCCAGGCACTTTGCTTTTCACAGGGCAGGGCCCCTCTACTTTCTCTGCTTCCTTTGACCCACTTTCTTTTCTTTCTATATCTGATGCTCCATAAACCATGTCACCTCTAGAGTGTTCTTTCTGTTTTAACTTAGTCTCCTATAGCCTATGATAGTCCTTTATCTTAGTAGTTTCCAAGTTTCATATTCTTACACAGCATACCATGTCTGCAAATGGGTCTCTGTACTAGTCTTTCTCCAAGTGTCACCTCTTGACCCTCCTAGAGAGCATGTGGGCCACTACTGTCTCCATCACTGTGGGGTGTGTTGGGAATACAGACTCTCAGGCCTCCCACAACCGTGCTGCATCAGAGTCCACCAATGCATGCTCTGTCTGGTGAGTTATTTGAAACTAATGGTTTAAAGCCCTGCCTGAAATACTTATGTCCTGTAAGGTGGTGATAATTGTAAAATAAGACCATGATTGTGCAGGAGTTTATAAAGCAATGAGTCAAAGTCAGAGAAATTCCCCACTGTGTGGCATTCCCAGCTTTACTGTGCTGCTGGAACTCTTCTCAAAGAGGCTGTACCACATAGTGTTCTTTATACCCGGGGCAGTAGGGAGGCACATTTACAACCAGTCATTCATTCATTCCTCCAGTCACTCACTCGTTCTGTACTGGATAGGGAACCAGGTCCTCTCACATAGTAGGCAAGTCCTCTGCCTCTGAGCAATACCCTAGCCCTCAAATCAGAGTGTTGTCAACTCAGTAGATATGAAGCTGCTTGGGAGATTAGAATAAAACTATTAAATACACATTGACTGTGGATCTACATTAAGTGCAATATGTTGAATTTTGTTTTTTTATATTTAAATTAAAAATTTCATAGCATTAACCTAGATTTGCAGTGTCTTAGTTTCGAATTTTGTTGCTATGGTAAAACACTCTTGACAGGAGGCTGGAGAGATGGCTCAGCAGCTAAGATCACTGACTGCTCTTCCAGAGGACCTGGGTTTGATTCCCAACACCTACATGGCATCTAACACCCATCCGTAGCTCCAGTTCCAGAAGATTCATCAGTCTCTTCTGGCTTCTGTGGGCTTTGCATGACATGGATGCACTTACATGCATGTAGGCCAAAAACACTCCTACACATAAAAATAAATATAAATAAATAAATAGTTGACAAAAGCAACTTAAGGAAGGGAGGGTTAATTTTGGCTCTGAGTTCAAGGACACAGCCTATCATGGTGGGGAGTCAAGGCAGCAGGATTTTGAGGCAGCTGATCATGTTGAATCGTAGACCAGAAACAGGGCAAAGAACAGAGGCAACTGCTCAGTTCCCATCTTGATCCGTACAGTCCAGGATCCCAGCCAGGGAATGGTGCCATCCACAACGGTTGGTCTTCCCAGAGGCCCATCCCCAGGTGATACTACATTCTGTCACATTTACTACATTCTGTCACATTAACTCCATGGCACTAGGAGTGATGGAGTGTCACCATCACTCCTAGTGCCATAGGTGGAAGTCCCAACACAGAGTGAAACAAACCTTACCTTCATGTCAGTGTTAACATTGCCCAGATGTTTGTGGCTCAGAAAAAGTATTTTCAACAATCTGCGTGTCTGAATTTGCTATTCAGTTTTCCAAATTATTAGATGTTATTGTCACCATATAGAAAATGTAATCCTTGAGTAGTTTTAGTGTGTCAGTTGTGGGAAGAGAGGCCAAGAGTGATAGGGTTATTTTTTCATTGTCAGCAGAGTCACACATTGGCTAAGCTTCAAATACAGCATTTAACAAAGGCAGAAAAATAAAATGCATTACTTAAAACGATTTTAGATTGTTTTACACTGTATAATTATGATTCCAGGTCTCTTAAAGAAATAAATGAGTGAACAGTGAAGGGATAGAATGATACTTTAATCTTTTGTTGTGTGTGGTGTATGCCTGTATGTACAGGTGTCCTTTGTGTTTGCGCATACACATGTGGAGGTATCGTGCAGGAATTTCGTCTGTGTTAGTTGATTAAGATGGAGAAAGTCACAACCCTCAAGTCTCAGTTAGTCTTTGAAACTTAGCAGCTGCACATAGCTCCTTCTTCCCCAAGGTTAATGTAAGTGTAAAGGACTGTGGCAGCGAGGAGACTCTCTGACCTTTTGAGCAGTCTGCACAATATGCAGAGAGCTTCAGGACTGAATTTTTCCTGAGTCTTCTCAGGTCGAATGGGCTTTTTGATGATGCAGCTGTCTTTGAGTTATCCATGCTCCTGTGAGTAACCCCTCACACATGCTCCTTGAGTAACCCCAGTGAACTCATTGCTTTGACCAGTTGGACTTTGGATTTATTCTTTGGTCTGTTGTAGATGCATGATTTGGGATGAGTGGACAATTGTTGGCATCTCCTCGGGAAAAGTCATATGACAGGAGACCACAGGTCAATTTTGTTTAGTCTTATTTATTGTTCTCCACTTTAATTAGTTAATTAATTTTTTATTTTTTGAGATAGTGTCCACTATGTAGCTCTGGTTGCTTAGAATTCAATATATAGACCAGGTTGGCCTTGAACTCAGAGATCTGCCTTGCTTCTACCTCCCAAATGTTGAAATCAAAGCCATGAGCCACCATACCTGGCCCAATTTATTTATTTTTTAAATGGTGTTTCTTAATGAACCCAGAGTTCGCAGTTTTGGCTAGGCCAGCTAACTGGCTAGGAAGCTCCCAGGATCTGACTGCCCTCCATTTCCCTGAAAACAGCTGGGCTTTTATATGTGTCTTGGGAATCTGAACTTGAGTCCTCATGCAAGCGCTTGACCCACTGAGCCATATCCCTGCCTCTTATTTTCTTAGTATAAACTTTTAAGTAAAATAGCTGGGTTGCTCTCATTTTTCAGTCTTTTTCACATGTAGTTTATATCTAGCACTGTGGTTTTATATATGTTGGAAATAGGTACAAGGCCAGTGAAAGTCATTATAATGGCACACCCTGCCACCTATGCTGCATATGGCAAAAAATATTTTGGCTTAAAACTTTATTAAGCCTGTGGTTAAAGGCCTTTTCTCTCTTTCATTCACTTTTCTACCTTTCAAATTCTTAGCCAAGCACTTAGCAATCCTGTAGTAAATTACAGTTTTCTTTTTTTCATGATTGCCATCTTTTTAAATTCAGCAAACCATAGAAGTTATTTTTGGATTGTTGAAAAATGTGGTTCCATTCTAAAATTTTGTCAAGAAATCACGCTGGTTTCAAACTCCATTTTATCCCTTGACATGAGGGTACCATCAGAAGGTGGCTGTTCTCAGAACTTAGACAATCTAAGCAGGGCAGGAGCAGGATCTAAAAGGTGTCTGTTGATGACAATATAGCCAAGTAGGTAGGGGAAACCTGCAGACCCAACTCAGGACAGTTCTTACAGAGGCACACCATGACTGCAAAAGCCACCCTTTGCTCCCTACCCACCCCCAAGAAAAAAAAAACCCAAACACCCCAGAACTCTGACATTATAGCATTGCTCAATTACTTTCTAAGTCTCTTTTAAAAGTATTCACCATGTCATTAAGCAGTAGAAACCTAGTTTACATTTATTTGTGTATATATTTAGACCTGTGTGTGAGATTGCGTGCCACAGCACATATGTAGAGGTCAGAGGCAACTTGTGAGAGCCAGTTCTTTCCTTCCTCCATGTGGATTCTGGGGGTCAACTCAAGTTGTCAGGTTTGGTGGCAAGGGCCTTGACCTGTTGAACCATCTTGTTGGCCCAGTAAGTTCATAATATCCCACCAGAGCTCACAGTTTCTTCATTGTCTCATATAAGATTTTCATAGATTGTTTGAATCAGGAGCTAACTAAACTTCTGTCTCAGGCTCTGGTCTCTTTACTCCCTGTTGGCGGAAACAACTCAGAGTTCTGTAGACTCCATCTGGCTTTGACTGATTGAACCTAGCAAACAGCAAACAGGAAAAAAAAAAAAAAGACCTGACTCCATATAATTTGTCATTACAGATTTCCCAGTTTGGATTCTTTGGGGAAAACAAACTCCTGGGGGAATGGGTGGAGCCATAGTGGTTTCTGCACTTCTGGTACAATCTGCTGAGCGTGAATTTCTGCATCAGCTTTTCACCCAAAGTCTTTAGCAGCCATCGGTGATGTTTGCCTAGATGTTTTAGTGTGATTAGTTTATGTTGGTAACTGACTGTCATTTTATCTTCCGTGCTTGGATTCCTTGATGGAAAAGAAGTCTTAGGAGCTCTCTGGTTATACCAAAGTGCATTTTAGGGAACAAAGGCAGGGAACATGCTTTATTCATTTATTTACTGGTTTGTAGAATAATGAGTTTTCTTAGTATCCTCCAGCTTCTTTCTTGGAGTGTTGGTATGAACTTGCTGACTTCCTGACTTGATGTGTGCATGGCAGAACATTATTCTTTTTCAGAAGGCCGTACAAGTTGTCTCCTGGGTCTTCTTGTCTTAACTTCGATGGTCTTTGTTTCTTGCTGTGTGATGTGACAATACTTTCAGACTTGTATGTTTTTTGCTTTGATCTGGAATCCTCCATCTCACTAAGGAGTTTCTCTCATTGTGCTTGGCTTGGCTAGTGTCTATATGTCTTTGGAAAAGTTTATCTTATGTGTATAAATGTATTGCCTGCATATATATGTATATATATGTATATATATATATATACACACACACACACACACATATGTGTGTGTCTAAGTACACCTCTGTCATGCAGTGCTTGTGAAAATTAGAAAAGGGCTTCAGGTCCCCTGGAACTGGAGTTACAGATGGTTGTTAGCTACCATGTGGGTGCTGGGAACGGAACCCATGTCCTCTGTAAGAGTAGCCGGTGGTCTTAACCACTGAACCACCTCTCCAGCCCCCACCCCGCTGTATGTCTTTTTGATAGATGGAGCCAAGAAATAGCTATTTGAAAATACACCATTTGCTCATGACAGCATTTCTAACCCCACAGTTTCACATCAGCATTTTGTTTCATTTAAACTGAAAATCTTGTTTCCTAATGACATTAATATAATTACTTGTTCTATAGTTTGTGTTTAGTAGAACAGTAAAACTAGTATTATGAGCATGATGATTTCCAAACACAACTTTAATTTTTTCAATTCTCTTTGTACCCGAATCATTTTAATGTAGAGATGCACAGTGTAATTAGTAAGTGTGCTTAAAATTCTCTTACACTCTCTATCTATCTATCTATCATCATCCATCTACCTATCATCTATCAACTATTATTTATTTATTATTTATTTATTTATTTATTTATTTATTTATTTATTTATTTGAGACTGGGTTTAATGATATCCCAGATTGGTCTTGAACTCCCAGTGTACTTGAAGATGACCTTGAACTTCTGATCCTCCTGCTTCCACCTCCCAAGTGCTAAGATTATAGGAGTGCACCATCATACGATGTGGTTTTGAGGACTGAACCCAGGGCTTGTGCGTGCCGGGCAAGCATTCTACCAACTGAGCTACATCCCTACCTTCAGTTTGTCATAAAACACTGAAGTGTTAACTTGGGGGATGGGAGGATGGCTCAGTAAGTAAGAGAACTTAACTGCACAAGTATGAGGACCTAAGTTTGGATCCCTAACACCTACATAAAAGCCAAGTGTGGCCATGTGTGCGTATCACCCCAGTGCTGGGAGGGCAGAGACAGGGCTGCTGGGACTTGGTGACTACTCGGGGCAGCCACGGGACCTGAATGGATTACTACGGAACTGATTATTTATCAGGGGACCCAGGGCTTTCATGTTCCCGAGTGCTGATTGTATCAGTAGCTCTGCTTTTATTTTCATAGTTTTGAGGACCACAGTCATATGTTTACAGAGCACTGACTAATAATAACATGGCTAGAATATAACAATTCAGTAAAGTAAGATGAACACAGCAACATTATGTCCATGGTATGCCTTCTTGGGAGATCAGCATGTCTCCTGATAAACTAGGGGAGCACTGGCATTCTGGACATACCGTATCCTTAGCAAGCATTCTTGTATAAACTTTCTCATAAGACATAGGGTTCTCCAAACATACATGCTCAAAGTTTGGCTGAATTCACCAAGCATATTGTTAAAGCCATAGGAACACTATTTCACAGTCCCTTCACCTCCCCCTTTCTGTTTTTCTAGTCTCTCAAAAAAGCACAGGCCAACACTAAAGCAAGAGTTTGGTGTACGGCTCGCATAATGATTTGAAGCAATACAGGCCCACAAACAAGAGTCAGGACTGCTAGAGGGCCAAGAAAAGGCATAAGACAGTGTAACCACAAAGGCCACTGAGCAGAGCTTACGGGAGTTTTAGCAATTTCATCCTTGAGAGATCTACTTGCAATTCAACTTGATTGGCCGCTGGGGGCAACCACGGGACCTGCTGAGTCCCCTGGTAAATTATCAGTTCCATGGTAATCTATTCAGGTCCTGTGGCTACCCCCAGTGGCCACAGGCTTCTTCAGTAGAGACTCTGCCTCAAAGGAATAGGGGTAGAAAGTGATAGAGCAGGATACCTGATGTCCTCTATGTGTGTACATGGGCATGCATACCTGCATATATGTGCATATACCCCCCCTCAACTTGGTTGACATGTCCAAGAAAAGAGCAACTTGAGGGCCAGTGTGTTGGCTCAGTGGGTAAAGATGCTTGTTACCAAGCCTGACAACCTGAGTTCAATTCCCAGAACCCACATGTGGAAGGAGAGAACCAGGAACTGACTCTTGAAAGCTGTCATCTGAAATCCACTTATGAGCTGTGGCAACACACGTGTGTGCAAATTAAAAAATTAATTTAAATGGGGCAAGTGTGGTGCTGTACACCTTTAATCCCAGCACTCAGGAGGCAGAGGCCGGCAGATCTCTGTGAGTTGAAGGCCAGCCTGGTCTATATAGAGAGTTACAGGCCAGCTAGGGCCACATAGTGAGACCCTGACTCAAAACAAAAAACCAAAAAAAATGAAGGAGAGGGGGGAGGGAGTGAAAGAGAGAGGGAGAGAGGGGAGAGAGGGAGAGAGAGAGAGAGAGAGAGAGAGAGAGAGAGAGAGAGAGAGAAGCAATTCAGAGAAATATGGCTTCCATGTCTTTCCCTTCTACCTTGTCCCCCATTTTTCTTACTGAATATAAACTTTCTTTCAGAGCACTTGTTTTTATTTTCCATTAGAAACATAAGCAGATGTGTCCGTCTGTTGGCCTCTTTCCTTTTCTCTCTTTGCTTGTCTCTGTCTTATCTGTCTGCCTGTCTCTGTCTGTCTGCCTGCCTGCCTGTCTTCTTTTCTCCCTTTGTCTGTCTCTACCTGTCTGTCTCCTTTTCTCTCTACAAATGCACATTCCCATTTTCTATCTCAATCTCTTGACTACTTCTCTCCCTGTTATCTACATCTGTGTGTGACTAAGATGTTGTATTAGTCAATTTTCTGTTGCTGTGATAGAAACATTGACCAAAGCAACTTATAGAAGGAAGAGTTTATTTGAGCTTACAGTTCCAGGGGAATTACAGTCCGTCATGGCGGGGAGGCATGGTGGCAGGAGGTGGCTGGAGCAGAAGCAACAGAAGTTAAGTTCTCACATCATCAAGCAGCACAGGAAGCAAGAGAGTGACTGGAGATATAGCAAGGCTTAAGAACTCTCTAAGCCCACCCCCAGTGATGTGCTTCCTCCAGGATAACCACACCTTCTAAGACCTTCCAAAACAGCAGCACTAACTGGGGACAAAATGTCTAAATACTTGGAGCCTATGGGGGACATTTTCATTCAAACCACCACATTCCACCCCCTGGTTCCCATAGGCTTATGACCATATAAAATACAAAATAGATTTAGTCCAACCTTAAAAGTCCCCATAGTCATTACCAGTCTCAATACTTTCCAAAAGTTCACAGTCCAAAGTCTATTCTGCGACTCAAGGAAATATCTTAACTGTAAGTCCCTATAAAATCAAAAGACAAATTGCATACTCCCAACATACAGTGGAACCAGATACATGGTACCATTTCAAAAGGGAGGAATGGAGGCATAATGAGGAAATACCAGACCAAAAACAATACCGAAAACCAGCAGGGCAAACACCAAATCCAGCAGCTCCATGTCTGACTTCTGGGGCTTTACTTCCAAAGGGCTTAGATGGCTCAGCCTCTCCAGCTTTGCTGCTTGTAACACACATCTCTCTCTTGGGCTGGTACCACTCCCTGTATGCAGGTCTTCTTGGCAGATGCCTCACAGCTCTGGCATCACGAATATCTTCTTGGGATCTCCATTGCCAACCAGGCTTCACCTTCACAGCTTCATGCAATGGCCTGTGAGGACCTTCTTTACACATCTATGCTTCTTTATGTTGCATGCTGCCTGGCACCAGTGGCTCTCTGAAACCGGGGAGGAAGAACTGATGACCCTTCACTCTTGCATCTTTCATGCCTCTAAAGCCAGCACCAGGTGAATGACACTGCCAAGTTTGACTGCAGGTTTGGGATGGACTCCAGCCTGCCTTATCCATTTTAGAAACTTTTCTCTTCAGTGGCCCCTGCAGCATTTTCCTTTCACAAGTTGGAGGTGTAACTGGGTGTAGTCTTGTTCTGGAGGCACTCTCTCCATCATTTAAATGAAAATCTCTAGGCCCCTCCTGAATCACTTTAATCTCCTTATCAAAGGGATCCTCTCCAGCACATGTCTGGGCTCCAACATTTACCTTCTTAGTGCACTTTTTCAGTCCAAACTGGTTGTTCTGTATTTCTTTCTGCTCCATTTGCTCTTTTTCACTGTAGATCTGTATAATACTCACCATTAATAGCCATGCCACCATCTCTATGTTAGGCTGTCTTGAAATTTATTCTACCAGAGAAATTATCCCATTGTTTTTCACCTTAGCCTCAGGCAGGCTTTTTGCCTCTGGGCAGATTACAGCCAGACTCTTTGCCAAAATAGCCCATTGCTTTTTAAGTCCTCATTTTCCTCTGGAACTACATTGTTCTCAGCACTACTTTCTTCCTGGTGTGTACTAGAATGGCCTTTTAAACTCTGCTTATAGCAATCAACTGCTTTTCTAGCCCAAGCTTCCAAAGTCTTCCACATTCTTCCAAAACCCCACATGGTCAGGCTCTTCACAGTCAACAGCCCACTCTCTGGTACCAATTACTGTATTAGTTACTTTTCTGTTGCTGTAATGACATACTGACTAAAACAACTTATAATAGGAAGAGTTTATTTGAGCTTATGGTTCCAGGGGAATTACAGTCCGTCTTGGCAGGGAGGCATGGTGGCAGGAGGTAGCTGGAGCAGGTGTGAACAGAGGTATCTCCTCTTCTGACTCAGAACCAGAAATCTAGCTCAGAATCTACCAGCCTGAGTCTCAGGAACCTGACAAATCAGCCTGCCATGCATTCCCTAGCAGGACTGCCTAGGTAAAAATGGTCCTGCTTAGTATGATAAGTGTGGGGTGGGAGAATAGTAATATTTAATGGGAAAGCATTGCTTCGGGCCTCCTGGCATGCAGTGTGGACTCATGTCTCTGAGGAAGTTCTTGGTAACAGTGGCCTATGGAGCCTGTGTGTATGAAACCCTATATGGAGGTGGCTCCAAGCCACATGGGGTGCCCTTCTTGCTGTATCTCTGTTGCCCAGGAACTGTGGGGAGGAGCAATGACACTGCCAACCAGCCAGCCCTGGATCCAGAACAAATAGGTAGTGTTGGGGTTTGGGGTTCAGGAATGATTGGAGACCACCCAGTACAATTTGAAATTTAGAAAATTTTATTATAAAACATTCCAGTTGACGAACAACCAGTTGGGCACAGACTCCAGAAGCCAAAGAATGGAGGCTGGCCCCGAACAATAGCAGGTCGGGGCTTTTACTGGGGAACTCTCTGGCCCCTTATCCTGAGTATGGGGGAAATTCTTATTGGTAGGGGCTGTCTTCAGGGCATTGGAATGTGCTGGTTGTAATCTTTAGAGCCAGAGGATCCTGTTTATTCTTTATAAGGTCTTAACACATTTGAGCTTGCCTAACATGCCTGAGCTTGCTTAACCCATAGCCCTTGCATAAGTTCTAGTCAGCTCACAAAATGGGGAAGCTTAATCAAAATGGAGTCAATGCAGTTTAATGTAGTTTGAGATCTGACTCTTTAGGTAGAAAAGGTAGGCAGCTAGGCTCCACTTTGGAATCTGTGTTGTTGACTCAGACCTCTGTAGGGGCTGTGACACTTTTCCTTCCTGGGATAAGGCAGCTCTGACCTTTTGTACCCCAATGCTTGTTGGCTTGTATCCATTGTATCTCAGGGGTCACCTCAGAGCTCCTGATAGGAATGTTCTTTTCAGAAAATTAACAGAACTTCACAGCATGAGTCTGCCAGTTTTGCTCATTCTTCTGTTGACAGATCTTTGAGTTCTATCTCCATCCTTATGTTAGAAGATTAAATATGAAAAGGAAAAATTAAAATAATCAGATAACACCTTCTTGTAAGGAAAGCTTTCATGTATATATTTATATTTAATTATTTTTATTTTGTGTGTATGAGTGTATTGCCTGCATGTATGTAAGTGCACGTATGTTGTGCAGTGCCTGTGGAGGTCAGAAGAGTTGGATTCTCTGGAACTTGAGTTATAGACAGTTGTTAGCTGCCATGTGTGTGCTGGGCTTTGAAACCAGGTCCTCTGTAAGAGCAGCCAGTGCTCCCAACCACTGAGCCATCTCTCCAGCTCCCTCTTTTTTATTTTATAATTGTTTTCTTCACTGTGTGCATGCATATATGTCTGTGTGAGTTTGTGAATGGGCATGCAGTGCTTGAGTTACAGGCTGCTGTGAGCAGTCTGACGTGCATG